AGACCATACGGGCGCACCATAGAGAGCCATCGATCGCACAAACCCCGAATAAAGGCGGCGGACTCCTTCTCTGGGGCCCCCAAGATTTGGCAGCAGTTTGTGCATAGCACCCACCACCTTCTCGATCCGAGGGGCCAGGCGGTTAAAATGTCCTTCGAAGTTCCAGCGGCTATCCAGAGCGAGACCGAGATAATTCATCTCTGATTTCACCTGGATCTGCACGTCACCAACGCGAACCGAATAACTGGGTGGATCCCTACCTCTGGGGAGTTTATGGAACCAGAGGGCCTCAGTCTTTTGAGGTGCTATTCGTAGACCCAGCTCATGGATTTTTTCCACGACGCAAGCCACACCAAGCTCGGCGAGCCGACTGGTGCTCTCGAAGCTATCCCCGTCGGCAAGTACAAGAGTGTCATCTGCGTAGCAAATGACACTAGCTCCAATGGGGAGACCAATCCGCAGGACCGCATCATAGGCGAGGTTCCACAGTAATGGTCCTAGCACTGACCCTTGTGGAACCCCACAATTCACCTCCCTTCGATGGACCAACGCGTTCCGACCCACGTATTGAATGCACCTGCCGCTCAAGTATGCCCCAATTATGCGCTGCAGGTAAATAGGCACCCGGTGGTAGGTAAGAGCCTCTCTGATAGTTCGCCAGGGTAGTGTGTTAAAGGCATTGACAATGTCGAGGCTGACAGCAAATGCCACACCACCCCGGCTAACCACCCGCTGCGAATACTCTCGGACACGAAGAATCGCGTCCACAGTGGACCTTGCCTGCCGAAATCCAAACTGGCAATCCGACAATTTGGGGCCCACTTGTCGCAGGTGCATCTTTAGGCGGTCGGCAATTTTCCTTTCAAATAATTTCCCTGCCTCATCAAGCAAACATGTGGGTCGGTACGCAGAGGGAGAATCAGCAGTCCTACCGTCCTTCTTTAAAAGCACCAGTCTAGCCTCCTTCCAGCCTGAAGGAAAAACTCCGGCGCTGAGGCAGCTGTTCAACAGTTGTCTAAATCTTCCCCTCAGTCCGGCGGCGAGAGCTGACACCCAGACCCGGCCATGAATTCCATCAGGGCCTGGTGCAGTATTTCGGCTTCTGAGGCGCCTAATGGCTCGGTCCATCTCATCGTCAGTAAGCCACAATTCATCAGACCAATCAATTTGACCTGTCAAAAATGAGGGGGACTCGGGACTTTCCTGGATTACAGGAAAGAGAGTATTAACTACCCTTTCCACGAAAGTGGAGTCTAGGGTCTCCGTCAGCGGGGGAATCCATGGCCGGAGTTTTCCCAATACAATCTTGTATGGGCGCCCCCATGGGTCCCTGTCTAGACCTTTGAGGAGTTCGCTCCAGGACCGAGACTTGGCATCCTCAATTGCATGTTGGAGTGCTTTCGTAGCGCGTCTATACGCCTCATATGCTCTCGCCTCCTCGTCGGCTGTAGCTCGCCTTCTTTTTCGGGTTCTGGTGTATAGTCGTCGGGCTCGCAAGCAATCATCGCGTCGATGCGCAATTGCTTCCGACCACCAGTACATTGCCTTCGGGTTAGAACATCTGGCCCGGGGCATCGATACATCGCAGATTGATGTCATAGTAGCCCGGAACCAAGCCGCCTCCTCTTCAGGATTGGGCAACTCATGATTAACTTGGGCCTCCGGCCAGGTGGCAACGGTGGCTGCAGCTTCGAGCAGATCTATGTTAAGCCGCTTAAGGGACCACCGTCTCGGAAGCCCACTATTGCCGCGTAGGTGGTCTACGGGAGGGCGAAGCGCCACGTCGAATACGATGTGACGATGGTCTGAAAGCGTGACCACTTCCTCCGCTACCCTCCATCCTGACACCATGCGTGTGGCAGAAGGGGTGGCCCACGATAGGTCCACAATTGATTCTCCTTGCCATCGGACACATGTACTGACGGATCCTGTATTTAGTAGTCGGAGGTCAAGTTCCTCAGCCCATCCCTGTAAGGTCTGCCCCTTTGCATTACTTCGGTTGGACCCCCACTCTACCGAATGAGCGTTGAAGTCCTCCATTATAAGAGTAGGATGCCGTAAGTATCTGTTGATGCAAGCGCCGACCCGATCCAGGTATACTTCATACTCTGCGAGACTGCAATTGGGGGAAATATAGCAGCCGACTACATTTAGGATACCCCATTTGACCGCAACGAAGCCCTGTCCCCTTGCAATTAATGTACAGGGAGGGTTCCCCGCTCCACATCCCCAATATATCGCGACTGAGCCTGCATCGTCCCCGAACCAGCGAGGATGCTCCGGAGTACGGTAGGGCTCCGCGACAACAGCCAATGCAACCGACCACTCCATGAGGGTTTGCAGTAGCAGGTCCTGCGCCGCACGGCAGTGATTCAGGTTGGTTTGGAGGAGCTTCACGTTAGTGTTGTAGGTGAAGTCTCCATAGCCTCCGGGGCGCGAGTAGCCTCAGGTGGAGGAGCCTGCTTTCTCCCCCTCCGGTTTTCCTTCTCTTTCGGCGCGCATGCTTTGGATCCCAACCGATGGTCAGCTGGGCGACCAAGATCCACGCATAATGGACATTTAAGAATGGCCGACGTGCAGTGACTCGCCTTGTGACCAGGTTCACTGCAGGAGTAGCATCGCGTGCTACGGTCCTGATCACTGGGGCACCTGCTACGTACGTCTCCCATCTGAAGGCATTTGTAGCATTGTAGCGACCGCGCTGCTAACACCTGTACCCTAGCAGCCGTCCATCCAACTCGAACGCCTTTCTCTGTCGCCAGTTTACGAACCACTGTGAGCGGACATCGCACCCAGACGGCCCCAAGACGCAATGGTGAACGGCGTATCTCACCAACCTTAACGTCTTTGATAAGACAGCCTCCCGATTCAGCTACCGCCGCTGCAACTTCTGCCGGAGTGACAGACTCGTCTAAATCCATCACTCTCAGCTCCCCAGTTTTTATTGGGCGAGCGATGTGCACGTCCATCTCCGCCAATGCTTTCCGCATTTTTTCAGCTAGTTTATCGGCTTTGGCTGCACAGTCAGGGCCGGTTACTTCCAATTTCAAAGCTCGGTGACAGCTCTCCTTGTCCGGACACTCGGTATGCCGAAGTCTAACAGATTAACTCTTTGCTTGGCTGCGGCCATAACTGCAGCATACGACTTCTCACTGTGCTCCGGCACAGTGATTGTTATGGCTGCTGAGCTGGGCACCCGTCCTGGCTTTTATTCTCCGCTTTTTTCTTGCTTTTTTTTTATCACAGCTCCACTTAATGGTGCATTTATCTGGCTTGTGGCCATCCTTTTACTTTTCCGACTCGCCACGACTGCCCACGTTTGCGGGGCTAGTGCACTACCCTCTGTTGCGTGCTCAATAGGATTGGGCGCCGATAGTTGTTGGCGCTGAGTCCTCTTTGAGTTTTCAGGTTTCAACTTCTCAGTACTAGGGCCCGTAGGGACGTCTTGCATTAACTGTTTGTCTTCCCTTACGCCTTTTTGATTACAAAAAGCTTTTTCTGGTCAATGAGTGAGCCAATGCGCTCCATTAGCTGACTTTCGAAGTCACCTTCCTTCGGAAACTGTTTTGGCTTGGCCGTTATTTGTTCTGCCTTTCTGAAAGCTTTGAGCTCCTCTGTGAGCATGCCAACTTTCGCAGTCAGCTCAGCAATCTGAGAGCGAAGCTCCGCATTCTCACGCTCCAGTTGGTCTGCACAGGTTGCCTGGCGTTTCGGCTCAGGAGATCTTGCCTCATCCAGTGACTGTGGTTTTACCTTCCTACGTTTCCTTGCCTCGGAGGCTGTTGACCTAGCCGAGGCAATAGACATCACGGAGGAGTCCGACTCTCCACCTCCACTACCTACTTCGGGCGCAGCTAAGCCGCGCGCCACTAAACGTCCCGTTTTTGGGTCGCGAACTGTCGATACAGTCACGCGATCACCTTGGCCTGCATTACTTTCGCTTCCTTCTGTATTTTTTAGGGTTGTATGGGGGTTAGTATGGGGGAAACATTCAGTCCGCCCAGGTAGTGCCCTCCTGTACCTGGGTAAGCCTAGATACGCCCAGGGGTCGGCCGGTACCTGGGGTCGGGTAGCAGTAGTGATTGACAACCCCTCAACCATGCATCTCCTCGCGCTGCTCCCGCCTCTTGAGATTGGGGGTTTTTTATAGAGGCTTTCTCCTCTTGGCCCGGCCAATGAAGGCAAGGCCCTCGTTCCTAATCAAAGCCGCGAGACATGACCACAGCACTTTGATCAGGTTTACGAGTTCTACACACGTCCCCCGCGATGTAGTCGACGGTGGTGACCAAACAAAAGTCGCGTCACCTGCTCAGTTACAGTGTTAGTGAACGCCGAGCCCGCCCTTGCCTCTCCAGTATGCCTTCTGCTAGCCAGAGGGACACCCGGAGTGACGCCCTCCCGTCAGATTATTTGCTACCAGTCAGTGGCCACTGAGGCCACTGGCTGGTGCCCAGGGTGCACCACGAGGAGGTTATCTGACACAGCACCCCTGCTGCGTGACCCTACCACCGTAACATCAACAAATCACAAAAGTTTGCCTTCTAGTTTCTAAAACAATTATGACAAGACGCGCATTGTTAATTCCTACTTAGACCAAAGGGAAACTTTCGCGTATTTACAAATTAAGCTAAGGGTATATAATTATACAACTTCAAAAATAATTTTCTGCCCGGCTGACTCCTAAAATGACTTCATTAAAGAATTTGTTTTCTCGAAACTTGGTAGATATCTTAACTACTTTGTGTTGGTTTAAGAAATTGATGATGGTTGAAAAATAAGACATCTCGAAAACGTACACTTGAAATTAATTGCTTCAAAGATAACAAAGAAACTAATTAAATTTTTATTAAAATTTGGGAATTACTGTAATTTAGAGCATTTTTTTTAATTTTTTAAATAAGTTAACGAGTCTGTGATAGATGTGTTTAGTTCAAATGCCAATCTAATGTATGAATTTGATAAAATTCAGCTTGTATTGTTGACGTATCTCTCTCTCTCTAATATGCAATAATAATTCCCATCTGATGGTTGGGTCTGCCTTCTTGGTAACGTCCTTCCTTCTTCGGTAACGTTGCAGGAACGTAGACCTTGTCTGACCACATTTGTCCACCTGGTTTTGGGTACTCTGGAGGTTTTCTTTTAATGTACCCAAACCAGCGCAGCCTGCTTTCTTGTTTGTCGCTTGTCGGGGAAGTCATGAACTCCCAGACTCTGGTCACCCCGCACATCCACCGGAGCATCTATATTACGACTACCTGCGTGCAGTGGACATAACGGCCTAGGTTTCACTACAGGTCAAAACTGGCCTGATGATACTCTTGTAGACGAGTCCTTTGAGGCATTCTTCAGTTGCAGGTTGTCCAAGTTACTTCCCGCCTTTTTTCCAGGCTGCAGCGTTACGATGTTGAATGTTTGTTTCAAAATTTCCTGTACTGTGCAACACAGTTCCTAGATATTTATAGTTATCACAAATGGTAACTTGTTGGCCATCTATCACAATTGGTTTATTTAGTTACTCTGGATCGTTGAACACCATGTAATGGGTTTTAGCCACACTCTACATTAACCTGGTTGTGTTTCCACTCCCTAAGTGCATATTCTAGCTGGCCTCGGAACGTCGTACAGATTGCTACTTCGTCTGCATATAAAAATGCCCACGGTGTAAGGATTTCAGCCTCTTCAGTGAAGCATCCATTAGAAAACCCTCCTTCAGACACTGCTATTAGTTTCGTCTGCCCCACCGTAGTTCTGACTACAGATGTCACATTTCCGTACATGTCAGCAACGATTTCGACTTATCTTTCTGGGATATTTTTCTGACGGAGACTCCACCAGATAGTTGGTACGCGATCAAATGCTTTTTCCATGTCAAGGAAAGCAAAATAGAGTGGTTTGTTTTCTTTTGTTCTTGTTGGTGGATAACGAGGTTTCTCCTCTTAGACGCGCATATTAGTTTTATTTCATGGTAGTTATTGCACTCACACAGATTATTCTTTTTTTATTTTAGCCAATTAGTCAATGCCATTTATTGCAGTAGTAGTTTTTTGTGTTGGAAATTCTTAATACATCGATAAATATAAATTTGTTGTGAATCTTTATTAAAACCTTACATAAACATGTATTTATATATTTATAAAATAATAGAAAGCGAAAACTAAATTTATTTGTTGTTAAATTATCAACACATTTTTTACTGCCTTATGTTTTTTCATTGGATAAAATCATTCATAATTTCTACGATAAAGCACAAAGTACCTTGTTAAAGTAACGAAGGCTCTTTCACGGACAAAATTTACTAAATTAAAAGCAGGTTTTAATTCTCGCTAACAATGAGTGAGTCCTTTGTCCAGTCTGAGCTGGATTATCACGTACCTTTTGCATACGTTAATTAGTTTTCTTATCTAAAAATCTATTTTAATTTAAAGTTTACATACGTAGATAATGCTAAATAACTTACGTTTTATCGCCGTTTGCTACTTGTATCAAAATGTAGCAATTTATATATCCACTAGCTGTACCCGCGACTTCGTCCGCGTACAATTTAAAATAAATAAAATTTCTATAATAAACGTAGCCTAAGTTACTCCTTATGACATCAACTCTCTGCCACAGACAGACACAGAATAGGGTGGTAGGGCCACGCAGCAGCCTCGGCTGTTGCACGGATATACAGGCCCGTCCAGGTAAGTACCACGATCTCACAGAAGAGCAGCGTAAAGTGGAAGTATGACAAACACTTTCGCGTTTCGTCTGGTGTAGCAGATGTCCATGGGCGGCGGTATTCACTTAACATCTGGTGAACCGTCTGCTTGTTTGACAACTTTTCACATAAAAAAAAACAGACAGACAGACAAAAATTGTTTTATTTTTTATTATTTTAATATTACAAACGGACACTTATTTTATTTATTTGTATAGATATTGGCTCACATTTGTTATGGCGAAAATACGGTTAAAAGTGATTATGAAACAGTACTCGTAACCTGTATCGTCAAAGTACATATTGAATAAGTTCGCCACAGTTCACAGTCAAAACTGCGACGTCAACATGCCGTCTATAGGAACATAATAATATTATTAAGCAGTTTGTTAAACTTTAATAAGTGCTTGAAATACCGCGTCGAAACGCTTCATTAAAATTTTAAGCAAACAATAATGAAACTGTACTTTTGATGGCATAGCTTAGTGGTGTTTGTAAGTTGATACAAAAGTAAATACCAAGTGACGGATGGTAGTACCTAAGTAAAAGATGAAAGATATTGGATACTGTTGTCTATGTGATAAATTAATGGAAATGGAATCAAATCGCGTCATCGGATAATTATATTTTCGGCTTTTCTCGGATAAATTGATTATGTTTTAGCGTATATAGCAATTAGCATAAATAGCCAATTCGTCCCGAATTTTACACAATTGGTATAACATTGGATACAATTAAAGGAAAAAATAGATTTTTGAGTTAGAATAGCAATTGACTATAATTTCACAACTTTTTTGTTAATTTGTGAGAAACATTCTTTATTTCTGTTACTAATATCGTACATATGATACAAAATTATGATAATCTAACCTAATTAAAACGAAATAGGTAAATAAAAATTAGCATAATATAACAATAATACAAATATATAATAATATAACATTTGTTAGGGAATACAATAGAAATATGTAGACGTAGACGTTGTCCGACTGTACTCGCCTCACTTTACGACCGTTAAAACTAGAAGTACTCTATAAACTTCAGGAAAACGCTTCTTGATTTACATCCCGAACCGACATAAACCCAAAGTGTTTATGTAACAAGCTGTTATAAATCTTATTACGGCATCAATTCGAAAAGAATAAAAAACCAAGTGCGAGTCGCGCTCCCGTACGAAGGGTTCCGTAACATCTATAAAAACGGCAATTTTTTTTAAAGTATTTGCTGTTATAACGGCAACAGAAATACATCATCATGTGAGGATTTCAACTGTCTAACTATCACAACATATATATATCAGGTGGACAGACAGACAGCGGAGTCTTAGTAGTAGGGTCTCGTTTTAACCTTTGGGTACGGAACCCTAAAAACGTGTTGTACTGATTTACGCATAAAAGAAATTATATTTCTTTGGCATAACAAAGGAAACTAACTAAAATTTTTATAAAGGTATAAAGTCAGAACTAAGTAAAAATACATTCAATACAATTCATAACGGTTTGATTATATAACTTGGAATTATAGGTGAATGTCGAAAAGTTGATATCGGTTGCCTTGGTGATAACGTGAAGTCGATTGAAGTTGGTCGCTTTACCACCAACTTTATCGTGTCGCTTTTTGTCTGTCTGTGTGCTATGCGCAAGCGTAAACATTTTGTTCATAAGTGTACATTTTTTAAATTGTCTGTTTACGGAATTTTTAATGGATGTTACACGATTGTGTGATTGCGCTTAAGTCCGTAGATTAGATAACTTTGCATCGGGCACAAAATTCGAGGAAACTTCCAATGAGCTTGATAAACACTACCCAAGCATAGTAATTTATACGAAAAAGGGCAAATTAAAAAAAAAAAAAGGATTATCGACTACTAGCTGTTAAACGCGGCTTCGCCCGCGCGGTCATAGGGAATTAACAATGACTTTTTTATTATACACCAGAATTGTTCGCAGATGGCAGAATTTTTTCCTAACTAATTGACACTTATTGTTATATTTTGGATAATTCACATAATACCTTTTTAAATTATAGCCTATGTGTAATTGATGTATTAGCTATATTATTGTAAAGTTTCATTAAAATCCATTCAATAGATTTTGTGTAACAAACATCCATCCATAAACACAAACTTTCGCGTTTATAATACTAGCTGCTGCCCGCGACTATGTCTGCGTAGAATAGGCTAAAGGCATAATATTCTGAAAGAAAGACAGATATAAATAAATAAATATTTTTTTATATATAAATAAATTAAAATTCATTTCTCTTTTATAATATTAGTAAGGATTAGTAAGGAAGTAAGGATAGGCGTCCTTCGTGTGGACCGGGATGTCGTAGGCCGTTCACTGCCTTACGCTTGGCTGGATACATGGGTGCATTTGGGGTGTTGGGGTTCGTTGAGCAGTGTTCGTAGGCAAGAGATAACTACAGAGTAGCTTAAGTTAATGTTACGTGTGTGTAGTGTTACGAAAGCAACGTATTGAAAGAAATAAGCAAGCGAAAGTACCGGCCCCGCCGATTGTTCCGGCGGGTCCGGTACTTTCACCCTCTCCCTCAACTTGGTGGATGAGGCAGTTACTTGAAAGATATCTGTAAAATCGTCCGCTCTTTTGTATTCATCGCTTTACGTTCTTGGAGTATAAGCTATATAGAGAAATTATGCTGTGATTCTTCATTTGATGAATTACACTTAAATAGCACTGACACTCCATTAATTAAGAAATTTTTAGATAGCAAAAACAAAAAAATCAATCAACATTACTTTACGATGCGTTTATTTTAACCTTAACCATCAAGAGTGGCATAAACTTGTAAAAGTAATTTCCTTCTAACTTAGCGCAAATTTCATTACGATTTTCTTTTATGGATCAAATTTTATAGTATATAAGAATAGCATTAAATTTGAATGAAATCTTTTTAAAATAGTAACTTTCTAGTGTAAGTTTTATTATCTTTTTATCTGCTGTCGTTGAGGTCATTTCAGTTTTGTTCTTAAAGGAAAAGGAGTTTTAAAATTCTTCAAGTTAATTGTGAGGTGAAATCAAGTTCAGTATTAAAACGTTATAAAGGAAAGTTAATATACAAATCTAACTGGATTTAAACTGGTAAATACGACGCTACCATATTAATAAGTTATTATGAAAAGAAAATACTAGTTATAAAAAGAAAATACTATCGAGAATAATATATAAAACATCAACAATATAACAGGCTCTTTCTTGACGCTTGAAGGCCACAGTGTGAAGGGAATGTCCGCTAATAAATCTCCCTTTGTTGAGGACTACAATAGACGGCATTTTTGTCGTAAGAACTTTATTCGAGGTGTGCTACGATTATGCAAGTGATTTGTAAGGACCCAGTATATATTAGACAACGCGTCAGACGGCTTTACGGGTGAGACATGCAAAATGTCTCATAATAATTATTAAGCTTGGTGTACCACGCAACAGTATTGGCTTTTGAAATGGTTTATTTTATGCATTTGTTTCAGTTTATATGATATAGACGTTAGACATCTTTCCTTGAGATAGCGTGCCGACTCTG